GAAGTGCATATTGCGTAAGATTACTGTTAAAATGTTAGCTTCCTTCTTTTTAATACTGAAATCTGTGGAAGGAACACAACTTTTCTGGCTGTGCCTGTGTGTATACACACTGCCTTAGGAAACGCCTGTAGAGCTGCATTATGCTCCATTGTTGTCACATACATCTTCCTAATCCTGCTCTCCTCCCTTTCTCTCCCTGTCTCCACATAGAAATGGGAAGCCTTATGTAAAACTGTCATGCAAAAAAAAAAATTTTTAAAAATTACTGCTGTAGTGTTAGCACTGAAGGTATTACTTCAAATAATAATTCACATCCTCTATGAATTTAATTATTGGTTTATGGTAGTTATTATTCTTATTTAATTAGTTTCATATAACAGTTTTGGGGAAAATATTATTAGTGATTTTTTTCCAAAGATATATGTGGCTACGAAGAAAAAGAGTTGTAATTTTCTGTCGTTGTCTTTATTAGTTTTTCTATCTTGTTCATCGTTACGACATTTTGATAATATCCAGGTTAACTGTAGTAGTTCCTCCTGAATGTGGAAAAGATAAAAATACGTGCAGTGAGGATTTCATCACAGTTGTAGGTTTTTATTTAAAGCTTTAAGTAAAGGAAGTCACCTTTCTCTTCTTGCATTTTTTTTTCCTCGCATTTCTGCTCTTGCTTCTCTTTACTTTCACATACTTATTTAAAGATCTCTCTTTTGTGGAGCAATTAAGACATAGTAGTAATGTCCAAAATCCATCTTGACTGTTATCAAAGTGGATTTTGCAGTCCTTCGTTTAGTACTTTCATAGTAACATCAGACAATGTAATATGCCGTTGCAGTTTCTGATTTTATACAATTTTAGTTTGATGTCTAATCTCATGTCCTTAAATTGTATGGCCGTGGAGATAGGTCTGAACAAGGTTGTAAAGGTTAGTAGTCTTTTAGCTTGCTTTCCAGAAAACCCCTGCACACCCCTGTTGGCATGGCACCCTGCGCCTGGGAAACACCGGGAGCGGTCCGGGGATTCGGGGGCTTCCCCTGAACAGACAGAAACGGTCGTGAAGTAGGAGTAGGAGTAGAAGTAGAAAAGAAGAATCTCTAAAAGCCTGCGCTGTTTGCACTGCCTGGATTAAGCAGCATCCAAACTGAGATGTGGCTTTAGACAATTCCAGCTACATCTTTTGGAGCATCAAGTTCTGTATATTTCATTTTCTGGTGTTTAATGGGCTTGAGAGAAGCATTGGCAGTTACCATAGTGCATCTGGTCAGTTCGTATAGTTCTGCTGAACACCATATTAGTAGGAAAAACTGTGGTGGGAAATCTATTTTATTAAATTGTTATTTCTCTGTTGAGTGATAGAATGCTTTTGTTTGACAAAAAATACTCTCAAGGAGAACCTAAGGTATAAGCCATTGTAAATCATATTAAGCTCTTGACAATTTACTCTTTATAAAAACAGTTCAGTTCTAGTTTCTTCTCCGTACTACTCCCAATTAGATATTGCAGTCTATGTACCTAAATTACCCTGTTACTGAAATTAAAAGTCGTTAAAGTGCTCTTCGTTGACAAGCAGCGGGCCCAGCTAGGTGAATAGCACTTAAGACTGCTTCAGGTTAGAAACCGATTTGTCGGATTTATTTTCAACACTTCAGTGGTTCCAGTTAAAAGATGCTCTCTCCTCTTACATAAAACTGTTAGCCTCTGAACTTTTTGTTCAAGTAAATACATTTTTTAGTTTTTTATCACAGGGTCAAGCAGTCCTCAGAGTTACAAAATTTAACATATAACAAAGCCTGCTGTTGCTAGGCACTACTTCAGGTATTCTTTCTGCCGTCTTTGTGCCTGTAGCTAATGTCTCACTACGGAAATGTTTTTGGTGATATTTTTTCACTTACACAGTTTGGGATTTTTTGTTTTAAATTAGTATTAATCCTTTTTTTTTTTTCTCTCCCTTATTTTTAGGTCATTGGAATATTGGATGTGTTCACACCAGATGTAACACTGGAGAAATTTAATGACTTGTAAGTTCTGAGTTGTTGGTGTTTGGGAGCAGGGAATCCTTGCTTGTGCAGGGGAGAGGGTTGTTGCTTATCAAAATGGAGAATTCCAGAATTGTTCCTTCATGGACTTTTTTCTGAATTTCATCTTAATATAACTCTTATGTGCAACTTCAAAATTGGTAGGCTGAGGTTTTCAGATTGTCATTAGAAGCAGTTACCAGTCTTTTAAGGTGTGTACTTCTTTCAGCCCTTAGTAAATGGCAGTTTGGTAGATTCCCTAATCCACCTTTCAAGTACTGATTCCTTACCCTAAGGCTCAGGTTGCCCAAATGATAGGACAATTCTTAACCCAAACAGGTAGACTGAAAATGGTGCCTGCTACATGACGCGTCTCCAGTGTGATCATCCTAATTCAAGGATTAATTCAAAACTGCTGATGCTGCTGAATTTTTTAGTAGTTATCCGCACTGTGGTTTGTTGTACCCCCTGACTGGTTTCCCAGTCCAGTGATCCAAACAGCACATGATATGGATCATTTCTAGCACCAGGCTTGCACATCTCCCTGACCTTTTGGTGGCATCTCAGACACAAGATATTTAGCATGCCTGTTGTTTTGCTTGTGGATCCTACTGCAGTTCTTGCGAGTTAGAGTCACTAGAGAAACAGTGGTCAGAAGTCCTGGCGGGCTTAATGTAGATTTCACGTTACATTCGTAGAACTGTTCTGGATTTCATCTAATGTAGCTATGTTTTGAAAACAAACTTACATATTTATATGTTAACAATGCTATTTGACAGGAAAATGTAGAAAATTAAGTACAGAAAACATGCACCTTGGGTTCATATTGATCATCTGGGCCAAAATGATCATTGAACCAAAAAGGATCTTGCCCATATTGCCTATTGTGCTAGCATTTTATACAGCATATGTAATAAAACGCATGTGTATGTGATTAGCATTCAAGCACTGTGTTTTAAATGGGACCCTAAAATCATCCTTCAAGTTTGGAGGTGCAAGTCAAGTAGGAGGGACATTTTTGTAACTGAAATTGCCACAGGTCCACCTATGGCAAAATTTACTTTCAGGACTTTGGGCAAGCTGTTAGAGGTAGAACAGAGGTAGATGTGTGTACATTAAAAACAAAAATGGAGAAACTGCTTTTGTGAATTAAAGGTTTTTTTTATGGCTCATTCCAAATATTCATGACCTCTGGGAAAATGTATTTAATAAGTCTCAATGGTGAGGGAACTTAATATGCTTTTAAGAGTCAAGAACATCAACAAAGAAGTGAAACCCTGTTTTCTAAGTCACTTGCTGTCTTGATGGGAAACATTGTGTGTATTATTCTGGAGCAGAGATAAGAAATGTCATTCTCTTCTCCATATTTGCTCTGTCCCTGCATAGTTACAGAATTAAATTGCTCTTGTATCCAAAGGATAGCAAATTTGTTTGTGAATGCTGGGACCAGGAGCCCGAGTACTGATCCCCAAAGTTGTGGGGAAAAATGTTTGGTACCTAGGAAATATTGAAAATATCACGTGAAACTCCTAGTGACTAAAACAGTGTTCCATCTCCCTATGACTTTATATTCAATTTCTATTTTGTTTATAGTTAACAATTCTAATAAAATAAATGAAGTTTTCATACAGGTTTAATAGTAGGATTATAATTTGTATATTTTAACCAGAGTAAACCCATTTAAATCTAAATAATAATAATAACAAAATTATAAACATAAATAAATAGTAAAAAAAAATGTAGCTATGAAACAATGATCACATCTAGTTCTTCCCTTCATGAAAATGCATCTGCTTGTCTTCATAAGAAAAGGAAAACTGATGATTTTATCCTCAGGTGCCAGACGTGACTGGCTCTGTCTGTGTTCAGACCTGCCTTTAAGGGTAGATTCTGAAGGATGAGTTTACTACAAGCAGTATGAAGAACAATTTTGGATCTTAAGCGAGGATTAGCCCTGAAATGCTAGCTTGGCATTCTCAGTCTTTCTGTTGCTGGTGTCCCTCACCAGTTCTAAGCACCAAAGATCCTAGTTTACGATCCCAGGTGAAAATTAATGGAAGTATTGTTACCTCCTAATTTGATCAACTCTATTTCTGTTATGTCTGATCTTGTCTATTCGAATGCACCATCTAGGCAGTTTGGTTGCTGCTAGTTCAATGCTATGATCATAATTGTAATACAGATAGCATTGCATGAATGTCTTCAGTCTCTGTATAGGTGTCTTTGAAATATCACATGGCTCTGTTAGGTTCTTTCTAACTAGTTCGGAATCTGCATGTTCTGATAACGCAACTTTCCATAATCAGTGACAGGGTTGGGCAATATCTCTTTATGACAATCAAAATAAATAGAAAGAGAGAAACTTGGAGGTCAGGGGGATGGTGATGGAAGTGTTTGGTAAATGGAATTTTTTATAATTTAATTATATATTAATATAATATATAATTTATATATTATACAGTATATATAAAAATATTCTAAATATATAATAATATGTAATTTAATCACTGAACTATAGCAGACAATTATGTTTCCATTTATTTGACAAATTAAAGTTTTTCTGTCCTTTTTGTTTCTTTTTTTTAAATTATTTTTTAAGCTACCTTGTCATGCCATTTATGGGAACAGACTTGAGTAAGATAATGAAGCATGAGAAACTAACTGAAGACCGAATCCAGTTCCTGGTATATCAGATGTTGAAAGGCTTAAAGGTTTGCTGCTTTTGCTATTATTTTGTTTCATAATATTTTTTCCTAGTAAACCATTACAAAGATCTATAAATACTTATCTTTTGATAACAGGATAAAATTTATCTCCCCTTGTATAACAAAAGTACTGGCATTCTACACAGCAGTTTTGCGATGATAAATGTTATATGGTTTTTTGTTGTATGATGGTTTTCTCTGTGGCTTTTTTCAAGCAAAAAGAAAAGATAGTCATTCAAGGTCTGTGTAGTTCATTGATCCAGGATGACCTTGGTTTCCTTGTTTGAGTACACCAGAAACTCCCTGCTGTGACTTTTAGTTGCCTCCTTCCCCAGTAGCTGACTGTGGTGCTGCTTTGCCGCACCTCGTACTGTGGCTAGTTGGAGAGCATGGAGACTGTGAATGAAACCACTGTTGAGTTCAGAGGCAGGACTTCCCTTGACTTGAGCCCTCAGCTATGTTATCAGCTTCGAATTTCTCTAATTTGAAATTTTTTCCATGGCTTACCAATACTGGTCTGACACAGTGTTGCTAAAGCACTCTACACCCAACTTGCTCTAAGTGTAGTGTCTTTCTGTGCTATTCCAAGGAGCATATATATGTGTATGTATGTATATATATGGGATTGGAGGGGGGTGGGGTGGATACTTATCTGTGTGTATATGTTTATGCCATACCTATATGGGAAGGCCAGTGCTGGATGCTGCACCCCAGGTGTGTCTCACCAGAGCTGAGAAGAGAGGAAGGACCACCTTCCTCAAGTTTCTGGCAGTCCTCTGCCTAATGCAGGAGGCTTTCGGTCATCTTTGCTGCAAGGGTACATTGCTGTCATTCAACTTATCCATCAGGACCTCCAGGTCCTTTTCTGCCAAGCTGGTCATCCCCCAGCCTGTACTGGTGCATGGGATTATTCGTCCTCAGGTGCAGGATTTTGCTGAACGTAGATGGGTTCCTGTCAGCCCGTTTCTTCAGCCTGTGGAGGTCTCACTGAATGGCAGCATGACCATCTGGTGTATGAACATTCCTCTCAGTTTCGTATCATTTGCTGACTTACTGAGGGTGCACTCTGTCCCATCGTCCAGGTCAGTAATGAAGATGTTAAACAGGACTGGCCTCAGTACTGACCCTGGGTGGGACACTGCTAGTGATGGGCCTCCAGCTAGACTTCCCGCCACTGATCACAACCCTTTGAGCCAGGCAGTCCAGCCAACTGACTCAGTCAGCTTTGATCCAGGCAGTACCTCACTGTCCATTAATATAATTCATACTTCCTCTCTGTGAGGGCGTTATGGGAGAGAGCTTCAAAAGCCTTGCCAGAATCAAGGTAAACATTGACTGTCCTCCCATCATCCACCAAGCCAGTCATTTTATAGAAGGCTAACAAGTTAATCAGGTGTGATTTTCACCTTTGTAAATCCACATTGGCTACTGTCAGTCACCTCCTTGTCCTTGTTATGTTTGGAAGTGTTTTCCAGAATTGTTTTCTCATTACTTTCCCAGGGAGTGAAGTGTGGCTGACTGGCCTTTAGTTCCTCCTCTTCCTTGCTCTTTTTGAAGACATGAACAATATTTGCTTTCTTCTCATTATAAGGAACATCTCTGGATGACCATGACCGTTCACATATTATTGAGTGGTCTCACAATGGCATTGGCCAACTTCCCTTAGCATTCATGAGTACATTCCATCAGAGTCCAGGGTGTCTATCCAGTTTGTTTAAATGTTCCCTAATCTGATCCTCCTCCACCGGACTTTCCTAGTAGGCTCAGGGACCTATGGTTTGGCAAATATTATAGGTAAAGATGGAGGGAAAGAAAGCATTGAGTACCTTGGCTTTTCCATGACTCTTGCCACCTGATGGTCTGCCCTGTTCGGCAGTGGGCCAGTGTTTTCCCTAGTTTTATTTTTGCTCCTGATGTGCATGTAGAAGCCCTTCTTTGTTACCCTTCATGTCTCTCACCAGGTTCAGCATGAAGTGGGCTTCACCTTTCCTAACTCTATCTCTGCACACTTGGACGGTTTCCCCACAGTCCTGCTGGGTGATCTGACTCTGCTTCCACCTCATGTATGCTTGCTTCCTTTTTGTGTTTTGATTTCCCTAGGAGCTCTTTGTTCATCATGGAGGCCTCCTACCACCTTTGCTTGACTTTTGTCTTCTAGTGACTGTTTTTGTAATATGCCAGCATTTTACACTGTGAAATTATGGAAGGATCTGTAAAAGGCCAGAAGGGACCATTCATAGAATCATAGGATTTCTAGGTTGGAAAAGACCTTAGAGATCATCCAGTCCAACCATTCTCAAATGTTTGCTGTGCAATAGGAATTCAGATTTGTCTAGTTTTGAACCGTGTAGGAAAGCTTCATCTTGTAGCTCTTCCAGTAAGTCACGAGTTAGCTGGAGCATGATGTCTGGGGAAGAACAGTAATTTCAATGTAAAATTTTCTTATACTTGAACAAAAAGTATAACCAGACTCCATTAGTTAGTTGTTGGTATTCTTCGTGATTCTCACTTTTTTGGCAGAGAATAACCCTG